TCTGGCCTGTCCTCAGCAGGTTGAGTGGGGAGTAATTCCTATGCGCTTCACCGTACCTGTAATTGCCTTGTATAATTGTATACTTTTCTCCCAGTATTTCTGTTCACTGTAAATGGATAAATGATGGAAACATTGTTATCACCCTTGACATGAACAGAGTCAGCAGACATCACATCGAGACGTGACTATGATATTTTTCGAGACATCGGGAATTTTACGATTTTTTTTACGACATCGCGACTCATCGTAGTCGGCAATGGGAAACCAAATAAATGCGGCATGCAACGCCTTCTTACATGTAATTGACGGTACATGTATTTTGTAAAACCGAAAAAGTGAAACTACTACAGATTAGGGCCTACTATTAGTGAGTCTTTTTATCTCTACATAATGAGATAACGACGGTTCAAGGATGCAAATAATACCAACGCAATTTGGAAAAAGTATTTATCCAAGGATTTTTTTAATCGTATTTAAAAAAAATAATCGAATTAATTCTTGGCCGGGGGCCGTATCATAAATCCGACGCCTCATGCATAGGTCCGACGCCTCATAAGTCCGAAATTCGGACTTATGAGGCGTCGGACTTATGAGGCATAACATTTATTTATTCCGCCTCATATAGGTCAGACAAAAGTCTGACGCCTCATAAGTCCGACAATAGACAAACGTTGTTTCGGACTTATGAGGCGTTGGACCTATGAGGCGGAATAAATAAATGTTATGCCTTATAAGTCCGATGCCCCATAAGTCCAAAATTTCGGACCTGGAGGCGTCGGACTTATGAGCGGACCCATCTTGGCCGTATAGGCGACCTATATACGTACTATACTGCTTTAGGCTATGCCAGTAAATAGGTTGGAATTATCACGGCTTATTAGAAAAGAGAAATTGTGGTTTTGAACTGTATTATTGTTATGCAGGGAAAGAATGGCAGGATTCACGTTTGGCAGAAACATTTCAAAGCAACTCCCCAGAATCTACAGGCGACGCGACGCACACAAACCGCGTGGTACTCAATACTTATGATTATATTCAAATTCAGTTGTGAAAGAATGAAAGCAATGTATATGTGGATTGAATAAGCTAGAAGCCACTGGAGCGGCTAACGGACAGATATTTCAAGCCGTATGGTAGTTGAAATTGCTTGCAACAGTTGCCACACAGACAAAAATCGGTTAGTGAATCCAGCTACGTGCAGCAAAGGCTGTCACAATGCAGAAAGTTGCAACACATCGCAGTTGGCCTCAAACTAAGCCTGCTCATCAGCAACACCTTGGACTTACAACCAATGTGGCTTATTTGAGTATTCAAACGAAACATGGAACATTATTTATGAAGTATGTAAAAAAAATGTTAAGGGTTCACAATGGATCATGCGAGAACTGATCAAGGCACAGGGTTAAAATGTACAAACTTTAAACCGTATAGGCCCATGTTCAACAGTGGAGTTGACTAGGAAGGGACACGGGACAGCCCCACCCCCTCGCTCGGGGTCTGTGTCCTTGTGCCCCCCCCCCAGAAGTTGGCAATTTCAAGACAAAAATTAGCATTATTTTAGTTGTTAATACATCTTAAGTGGCATGCCCCCTTCAGAAAATGAGTGCCCCTTCAGAAAATGAGGTTGCAGATTTATATGGCCCGGGGCCTATGTTTGATAGGCCTAAGGCCCAAAAAAGTCTCCGGTTTCTGGTATGCGCGCGCGTCGCCGTAGCCATGCGCGTCGGCAAAATGAAAAAAGTTTTTTTTCAATGAAAGATGATGTCTCAAAACCACCAAACTCACTGGTTTGACTGGAATCCTGCTGCTGCACAATTTTAACGTGTTTTTAGATTGGGTTATGGTCGAGAATAAGCTTTATGTGGCCTCTCTGGACTCCCATATATTTGCACTAAGTTTAGTCGGGCACCATTTGCAGTCATCAGCCGACATTTGAAGCAAAAAAATCAGGTAAAAAAAAAAAGCCGCGTCGCCGCACCACTTTTTGGGCAAGCTCCATACCAGAAACCGGAGACTTTTTTTTGTGGCCTAATGTGCATGTAAAGCCTTTTTCTCTAGGTAATCCATGACATCCACGCATCCAAAAACTCTGTCATGCATGAACAGTCTGGTGATGCATCAGTTACCAATGCATGGGCGCCTTGCAGTCTGTGAACTTCTTACCTTTATCGAACAATGGGTTTAATATTAAAAAGTTTTTTTTTTATGAAACCAGGTTCCACCAGTACCAAACAATCAGAAAAAAACTCAAAACAGCATGACTCTTGCCACAGTGCCGGTTTACCATGGAAGAGACAGGGTGAACCCCCCCCCCCCAAAGTTGTGCAAGCAGATATCGATAGATTTATCAAAAATTATTTAAATCAGAATTTTATTCTGATGGAGCATATTAATCTACTCTTGTGTATAGTCAGTGAAAATGTCATGGGAACAGTGGCGTAGCAAGTTAAACCTTGTCGCCCCCCCCAGTCGCCCCCCCCCCTGAGATTTTGAGTTTCTAAAAAAATTATCATTGATCTACATGACGCCCCCCCCCCCATGAAATGTTCCAGCCCCCCCCCCCCCCCCCCCCCAGCGCCCCCCACTGAAAAATTCCTGGCTACGCCACTGCGTGGGAACCCATTCAAACCAGATCTCTAGAGCTGTATTGTACAAGGATATGTGTTTTTCAACCATTCCAGTGGGAATGACACACTGCATTGGAAATCGCTCAACCGGCACTCTGCAATGGGTCTTTTCATTAACGTGGATGGATTTTCATCAAATTTTCGCTGTGATTATTCGCAAGAGTACAAACAAAGTACTCCATCAACATGAAATGCTGATGTCAGATACTTTTTGAGAAATTTAATGTCTGCTTGCACAATTTGGGGGGGGGGGGGGGTCACCCTGTATTTAGTACCTATGCTAGTGAAACATGCTGTAACGGGTTACAGCCCGATAGTCCAAAGGTTCGATATTCCGAAGGTTCTTTAGTCCGAAGGGTCATAGTCCGAATGTTCGTTAGTCCGAAGGTTCAATAGTCCGAAGGTTCCACAGTCCTAAGGTTCGATAGTGCGAAGGGCCCATTAGTCCGAAAATAGAATAAGGTTAATTAATCCGAAGGCTCAATAGTCCAAATAGACGATAGGGTTCGATAATCCGAATCGACAGTAAGGTTCAATAGTCCGAATAGATGATAAGGTTCGATAGTCCATATATACGGCAGGGTTCGATAGTCCGAATTGACAATAAGGTTAAATTCGATTGTCCGAATTGACAATAAGGTTCGATAGTCCGAGTGGACAATACGGTTCGTCAGTCTTACACTTCAGACTGTCGGACCTTACTGTTGATTCGGACTGTCGGACCTTATTGTCGATTCGGACTGGGGTCTGTCGTGCTAGTCGGTTATGTCTCGATAGTCCGAAGTCCCATTGGTCCGAAGTCCCATTGGTCAGAAGTCCCATTGGTCCGAAGTCCCATTGGTCCGACGTCCCATTGGTCCGACGTCCCATTGGTCCGACGTCCCATTGGTCCGACGTCCCATTGGTCCGACGTCCCATTGGTCCGACGCCCCATTGGTCCGACGTCCCATTGGTCCGACGCCCCATTGGTCCGACGCCCCATAGGATTAGGGTTAGGGTTAGGGTCAGTCAACCGGAACAAGTGGAACTACACAGTATTATGTTTCGGACCAATGGGACTTCGGATCATGGGACTTCGGATCAATGGGACTTCGGACCAATGGGACTTCAGACTATCGAGACGTAACCGAATAGCTACAGGCATGCATTTTTTCCTCGGATCTGCTGGTTTCCTATAGTTTTTCACTTCTCACAAACGCCATTACAAAATTTTGAAAAAAACACTGTACAAAGTTCTGTGCGATTTGGAATTTCCTCGTTTTTGCTCTAAATCCCCAGTTACATGCTTGCACTGGCCCGTTACTTGGTCTAGGGGGAAAATGAATACTATTGGTATTAAATTAAAACAAGAATTATGAAAGAAGCATTAATTAACACAAAAATGATGTGCCTCATTAAAGATAAATTCCCCCGGCTATTTCGAGTTTCACCTATAGAATTCGGATTTTTTTTATTGGCATTTTCGAATGAGACATAGGACAAAAAAAATCTACCGCGGGCTATATAGTTGAATTATTATCATAAGGGCTATACAGTTATTGAGTTATTTCTTCGCAAAGTTCGAAGTTTTTGCTGCTCGTCAATAATTTGGCTCTCGCAGGGCGGGTTCATTTGTATGTAAAATGACAGCCTTTTTTTCAGAGGGCTGCAAAAGCTCAAAATCGGAAACAAAAGCTTTATTCCTTAAAAGAAACACACAAATAGAAATTTCGTTTGGAGAGAATATATATTTTTTAAAAGCACTGGGCACGAAATTCAAACAATACTCAAATCACAGCAATCAACAGTTGATTTGTTATATCGTGCCAAAAAGTCAAATCGTAAAATTTCTGTTTTACACCACAAGAAATGCATTGCAGATTAATAATAAAAAGGTAAAGTTTGTCACTGAGCCAATGTGGCCCATCAGGCCGGCGTACCAGTCGACTGAGAATCATCTCCCTGGATGGGATGCTAGTCCACTGTATAGGTTACTCCCCAGCTAATGCCGGTACCCATTTATACTCCTGGGTGGAGAGAGGCAAGTGGGGATGAAGTGCCTTGCCCAAGGACACGGCCAGCGGATTCGAACCCCTGACCCTCTGATCATGAGTCACAAACCCTAACCACCAGGCCACACTCCCCCTGGCAGATTACTGTGAGCATTCCTGAATCCTGTTGGACTTAATTGGAAAGCTTCAATAATGCACATCTAGTAAACACTGTGCCATGCATGTGCATCGTCTTTTGGTATAGTTGTAAATTAAGGGCTTCACATTTGTTGTTTTATATACAGACTTTACAGGTGTCTGCTTTAGACCATTGAAATGACAAACTTAGACCATTGAAATGACAATGAATATTCAAAACTTGATATCTTTTCTTTTTCTGCAGCCATATCTTGCGAATTATGGGTACATTCCATCAGTGGGCGACAACCAAGTAGTGGACAGGCAAGTACTTCTTGATGGCCTCGGCAGATTGCAAGATATGTGTGGCGTTAGCAGGACTGGTGAGTTCAAAGTGTCAGGATTTGACATTAAGGATTCCAGAGTTGTAACGAGTCACTGATTTTTGAGACTCGAGTCGAGTCGAGTCATTTTAAAGAAGGGACTCGAGTCGAGTCGAGTCATTTTAAAGAAGTGACTCGAGTCGAGTCGAGTCATTTTAAAAAAGTGACTCGAGTCGAGTCGAGTCATTAGGTCAAAAGGTCGAGTCGAGTCGAGTCAAATATTTAGCTCGAGTCAAGTCGAGTCACGAATATTTGAACACTATATACCAAAAATTTATAAAAGGAGGCCATAAGTTTAGCCAGCGTTCGAATCCAAGAGCTTTATAATAAATCGCCCAAAAACAAAGATGAAACAGTGAATTAGAAAATGTGTTTAAAAATCTGGTTCCTGGATAGTATTTTGTGCGTTCTAGAACCATGAGGTGGGAGTTTGTGACACGTTGTATATTTGTACAGTATGACTGCTATTCGCAAAGTAAAGTGAGCATAAATTTTGCACCGTAAGTCATTGCAAATACTTTTCGCAAAGTTGCGCTTATATTTTTGGGACTCGAGTCTTATTAGCCTTCGCCTCGAGTCGAGCCGAGTCTTCTGATGAGGGACTCGAGTCGAGTCGAGTCATTTACTTGCAGTGACTCGAGTCGAGTTGAGTCATTTACCCTTAGGGACTCGAGTCGAGTCGAGTCACCAAAAATAATGACTCGAGTCGGACTCGAGTCGAGTCATTGACTCGAGTCATATGATTCATATGGCAGTACAGAAAAGTGCACTTTGTCAGTTAATTGGTTTTTTTTTTATATTTTCAGCAATATTGCATACAATTAAAAGCTTGCGATTACTTCAAGAACTAGAAGGCATGGGTTGCCTCCTACTTTTTAGTTCTAGTGCAAGATCTAGTTTTTGTTCTAGTTCTAGAAGTAGCTCACCAATTTCAGCTCAGTCGAGTTTTGGTTTTTGTGTTTTATTTTGTGTTTCTTTGCACAAATGATAGCACCACCGCAAATTGTGGCATGTACATTTAACGGGTTGTCCCATTTAAAAAAAAAATCTTGCAAATAATTTTACAGACAATACGTTGCGTTACAGGCAGGAAAAAAGTGATAGTATCCCACCAAGACAACTTCACTGATGTCAGACAGCACTAAATTAATATACATCTACTGTATGTACTTCTTTGATTGTTTGTCAAAACTGGAGTATAGGCCAGAATGACTTCAAAAATTGAGTCTAGCAACTTAGGTTTAAAGGTAAAGGTAAAGGGGACGAACCTGTGTTCACAGGAACGGAGTGCCCATCTCTCTTTCGTTAGCGATTGGGCCAGACTCGAGTCCATGAAATGCTGCTGTGGGGGATCGCCACACCTCCTCCACAGCGAGTCTGTTACCTTCCCAGCATTGACCAATGCCGGTACCCATTTAACACCTGTGTTGAGAGGAGTAATTGAGGTGAAGTGCCTTACTCAAGGGCACAACACGCATGGCCACAGTGGGGCTCGAACCCACAACCTCTTGATCACGAATCCTGTGCTCCACCACTAGACCACACGTGCCCCATAATTTTCAGGTTTACTGCAAACTAATAACAGTATCACTCAGTTTTTCAGGTTTACTGCAAACTAATAACAGTATCACTCAGTTTTTCAGGTTTACTGCAAACTAATAACAGTATCACTCAGTTTTGACCTTGTTTACTGTCTTGTGAAATAATTTTCAGGAGGTATAATAGATGAAGCAACATCTGAGTGCCTCAACAGACCAAGATGCGGCAACCCTGACTTTGTGACAGGCCAGCGGGTGAGGAGGCATTCCGGCGGCCGCAAGCGTCGCTATTACATCCCTGCGGAGGCTGATTCGTGGTCGCCGCAATCAACTCATATAACGTATGACATCGTGGTGTACTCGGACGACCTGCCTCCATCTGTCATTGATGATTCCATCAGGAGGGCTTTTGAGGTGAGCTAGGAGATGCAACCAGCAAGTCTTGCGGGAAAGGGTTCACGATTCGCTCTTTTCACACTCCGCCACTGGGCATGCACAGCGTCGATCTGGCAAATTAATACACAATAAAAATAGCCGGTTCAGTGATCTGAACCCCGACACGGGAATAACTGAACCGGCTATATTTATTGTGTAAAGTTGCCAGATCGAGGCTGTGCATGCCCATGGCGGAAGTGTGAAAAGAGCGACTTGGGGATGACAGTTTGAATCCTAAACTGAAAATACTGAATCCATTAGAATTTGACTCGACTTCAGATCGTCTCAGGTCTGACAATGTAATACTTTAACTGAAGTGATGGTCTCCAACTGCTTAGCAGAAAAAAGGATCTCTTCAGTAAAGCTTTTCAATAGAGAGCTGGCAACAAATTTTTCCAGCCTTTATAAATCTCAAACTTGCAGATTGAGCTTAGAAACTGTTAGAAATGAATTTGACAGAGTTTTGTAATTGAAATTGGCCTGGAAAACTGTCATCTAATACTGATTTGTTGGTCCTGCAAACCAGATTTCCTGAACAGTATGCCTAGAATATTATCCGCAAATCTGTCCATAATAGGATCCGCCCATACTCCATTATCAATTGTTGCATGTTCTTAATTTACCTTCTCTCAATACTCTTGCTTCATACTGCAGCCCGAATGGCCTACAACACACGGAAAGAAATAGAAATTACTTCACATTTTGAAGGCAGTTTATACTCACTTGTCTGCACAGTAACATGCACCTTTACCCCTTTTCTTCAGGTCTGGTCTAATGCCACTGTGCTCTCCTTTGAGCGGATACGAGGAGGCCAAGTGGATATTAGCATCTCCTTCTACCCAACGATGCAGGATCATGGGGATAACATGCCCTTTGATGGGCCAGGAACGGTCCTGGCACATGCCTTCTGGCCCTGGAGCGAGGATCGCCTCAAGATGGATGTTCACTTTGACGAAGCAGAGACATGGACCGCCAAGTCTTACTCAGGTTTTTTTTTTTTTCAAATTGAACAACCATTGAAAAAACAAACTGTCGGGTGTTTTACAGCACGTCCCAAAATACCCGCAACGTTTTTTTTTTGCCAGGCTCTAGTGTCGGCGCGGAAACACATACCGCCATTATTTTTATACCATTTTAAATCTTGAAATCTGAACTTTAACCCTTAACTTTAAAATTGATCGTGTTTGCTTCACACCATATACATGAGAACACCTATTTTGTCCTGTCCACTGGGTTCCTGAAAGTGGCCAAAAGCACCATCTCTTGGTTCTTGGTTCTTGGTTGGTTCATCTCCTAAATACTCCGCGTGGGAGTTTGTACAGGAGACCAGAAACGCCGGGGCAAACCCCTTCTCTTGTTCATGCATGGAGTTCATACGATCCTAAATCTGTTCCCTTTCTCCTTCCAAAATGATCAAGATAAGGCCTGAGTGAGTAGTGGATTTTTATACTAGAGTATTCGCAAGAAATTACTCGGGAGTAGTCAAGTACTTGCGAGTAGTTAACTGAATTCCCATAAAAGCAGAAAAGTGACATGTACTCTTAATAGTATGATGTGAAGTAACTTACAAGTAAATAGCTCGCAAGTTACACCACATTTTTCAGCACTGAGATATAGTTACTGGGCAATGTTTTTGGACATTGAATTGCATTTTTCTTTTTGGGATGAATGGAGTCCCAGGGAGAGAGAGGTGGAGGGAGTGATTCCCTGTTTGCAGGGGACGTATTAAGCTGTGAACCCTAACCCTAAATTGCTACTTGTGAGTACCTACTTCCACTCACACCAGGACGAGTACTCGAGTAGATGAAAACCCACGAGTAGAACAACAACTAGCATAAACCACTCGCGAGTACTCGAGTAATGGAGTTACTCGCCCAGCGGTACTCAAGATCCTAAATTTTCTGCAGGTTTCGTCTTTCATACCTTTAAAAAGAACCCATGTGGATTTGTTTTCTTCTTGTCTATAGGAGCCAATTTATGGCTTGTTGCTGCCCATGAGATAGGCCACACCTTGGGTCTTGGTCACAACTTTATCCTCGGCACTCTTATGTTTCCCATTCACTTCGGATATAATCCTGACTTCGTTTTGCATTCTGATGACATCGCCGGTATAAGTGAACTGTATGGTAAGTTCTCAACTAAAACATAAAAGGAAACTGAATAGGTGTATAAGAATACTTTTAAAGTTGAACGAAGACATTGACTGGAGCAGGGTTTGAACCTGCGACCTCCGGATTGCCATTCCTTGGCTCTACAAACTGAGATGTTCAGCCCTAAGTTGGCTGTTTCCATTTTGTCAATGTCTTTGTTCAAGGGGCACTAGTCCGATAAACGTGTTTATGCGATGTAGACAAGGATCAGTATGGTATTGTGCAAATACAGCATGGTTTGAGAAGAAGTAGTGGGAATTACTGGTCCCTTGGTGTAGGTCAGCTTGACTACCTCCCGACGCGAAGCAGAGAGAGGTAGTCAAGCTGACCTACACCAAGGGACCAGTAATCAACTATTTTCCAGAAATATACCATGCTGTATTTGTTTTACTACACCTCATAAATATTTAGCAGCCTCGATCACTGTCTTTTTAGTAGCCTCACCGCCTTGTCGATAACGGCCTTCGTAGATTTTGCATCTTTATTCAACACAATTCAAGTTCTTCGTCACAGTACATGAAATAGTCTGTGCCAACACTCTTTAACGTATCTTCAGACTGGTTCCGTAAAGATTACATGCCATAGAAAACATGTCTACGAGACGGGTTCCAGAGGGAATTTTGGGTGCTACGTCCAGAAAAAACTACTGCACGGCAGCGAGCTGGATACTCACCGGGATGACGTCACCTGGGCGCGTATCATTTTTATTTCCCGGACGCGCGGTGGAATCGGCCAATGACGCGCTGTAATTTCAATATGAATATTTATGAGGTGTAGTAATAAGTTGTTACCCCTATTTGCAATTTATATCATTAATTGTCTTTGTCACTATCATCGACATTGCAATCCTTTGTCATGGTGACTATTGCAGGTTTAAATGTAGCCTCACGTGTCACAAGCCTATTACTAGTCCATTCAAAAGTTAATCTCAAGTCCTTTCACAAGTGAAAGGACTGGCACAATGGCAAAATGATTTCTTCATTTGAATAGTTTGTGACTTCACTTGAGACCCTGTCATCGTCACCGCTATTGTCATCATCATAATCATGTTTGTCAATTTGTCATAGCTTTTTTGTCATCGCTTTCATCATTGCCAAAACTTATTACCCCACTTGACCCCTACAATCATCACCATACTCCACCATTCCACTACTATTAGGTCAACCACCATCAGCATATTATTTGATGTTGTTTCTTTTTTATATTTTAGTTATTTCTGGTAATTAAAACCAAGGATCCCTCATAAGAGCCCTGTATAGGCACTGCAGCTAGCAATTTTGAAGAAACCTGTGGAGAGAAGACAATGAAAAAATTACAGTTTTAGACGTGGAAGGAAAACCCCACTGAAAATTCAATCCTCATGTGGACCGGGGCCGGAATCGAACCCGGGCCAAGCAGTGGAAGGCGAGGAAAGAACCACTGCACCAACCTGACTCTGTCATAAACATCTTTATCTCATGGCTTTCTTTCTCACTCAGGCTGAATTTAAGGTAATCTTGTAATTTTTATCATTTCAATTTGTTGGTATCTAGGTGATATTGCACCGACGCCAGGTCCAACAGTCCAAGACACCCCTGATCTGTGCCAAGTAGTCATAGATGCAGTAATGGTTGACGGGTTTACGTATTTCTTCAAAGGTATGCAAAACATAAAAAAAAAATTGCAAAACAATGCCTTGAAGCTTTGGCCCAGTGTTGCCACAAAGTTGGTCACTTACTTGGTAGTCAATTTTTATTTGTATTCTGGAATCAATTAGGGAAATCCAAGACACAAATGCATAAGGGCAATTCCAGCATAGTGAAATTGAATGTGAAAATGTATTTTTCAGATCTTGTACATCCATCATCTTGTAATGGTCAAGGAGATTACAGACAGTTCAGATCATGTCTCTGAATCTTTCATCACGGTTAAATGGCTGTGCCATGGACCCGTCACTTCCTTTCATAATGCTGGAATTGTGCATATAAGAAAAGATGTTTTGATATCAACTGTTTGAGGGCAGCAGCAACAGCTTTCAAATTACTTCTGCCAACAATTAAGCAAGACTAAGGCTTGCCTCATTGAACAGGACCTTAAAGCTTCAGTTTAAGAATTATTTATGCTCAGTGATTCAAGCAGAGCACAACAGGATCTTGCAAACCTTTAAGAAATGAGAATGATTTTACACACTCAAACAAGCAAAACTACTCTTTTTTTGATGTAGTGCCTTTCTAATGATTATCGCCTTGAGCACCAATATTGGTGGATATGTGCACTTTATAAATAGATCTCTTTTTTTTCTAACAGGAAAAGTCCAGTATTAATTAAACTTTTTTACCAAATGAAATTATTTCCCCTAAATAGATGGAATTGGAACAATTCACAGTTGATTTACAACTATTATATATAAAGCTGTTGCTTTTTGTCAGCAGGTGGTTGTTTTAAGTTGCTTAAAATTGGTGGCATTATGCAAAATCTAAAGAAACTTCCACTGGCGTTGTCCTTCAGGTGAGTACTACTGGAAAGTCTTGAATGGGCAACCTGAGCCGGGATACCCTCGCAGGATATCAGAACGGTGGCCAGGACTAGAGGGGGGCATCGATGCTGCAATCACTGTGAAAAATGACTTTGTCTGGACGCCGCACACGGGCAAGACCTACTTCTTCAAGGTAGGTGAATAGAAATTTGCGGTGATGCTCAAACAGAGTTGTAACAAGTCACTGATTTTTGTGACTCGAGTCGAGTCAAGTCATTTTAAAGAAGTGACTCGAGTCGAGTCGAGTCATTTTAAAGAAGTGACTCGAGTCGAGTCGAATCATTAGATCAAAAGGTCGAGTCGAGTCGAGTCGAGTCAAATATTTAGCTCGAGTCAATTCGAGTCACGAATATTTGAACACTATATACCAACAATTTATAAAAGGAGGCCATAAGTTTAGCCAGCGTTCGAATCTAAGAGCTTTATAAGAAATCGCCCAAAGCCAATGATGAAACAGCGAATTAGAAAATGTGTTTACAAATCTGGTTCCTGGATAGTATTTTGTGCGTTCTCGAACCATGAGGTGGGAGTCTGTGACAAGTTGTATATTTGTACATGACTGCTATTCGCATAGTGAAGTGAGCATACATTTTGCATCGTAAGTCATTGCAAATACTTTTTCAAAGTTGTGCTTTTATTTTTGGGACTCGAGTCTTATTAGCCTTCGCTCTAGTCGAGTCGAGTCTTCTGATGAGAGACTCGAGTCGAGTCGAGTCATTTGCTCGCAGTGACTCGAGTCGAGTCGAGTCATTTGCCCTTAGGGACTTGAGTCGAGTCGAGTCACCAAAAATTGTGACTGAGTCGGACTCGAGTCGAGTCATTGACTTGAGTCATTACAACTCTGTGCTCAAATGTGATGCAATCAAGCTAAATGAGTCATTTGTCAGCCCTTATCGAATTTTGTTGTTTTACGTTTTTGAATAGAGCTATCTTTCAGTTTGTATTTGGTGAAAACCCGATGTGAATACGACCTTCCATTCCAAAGTTATGGGACTTAGAATACAGGCAAACAGAAAGAAGAAAACAGAAAAATCAAACAGGGAAATCGACCATTCAAAACTGAAGTGTTTATTAAGCAACAATAAACATGCTTTATTTCAGCTAATTGAATATTAACTCCTAAGGCCCCCCAAAAAGTCTCCGGTTTCTGGTATGCGCGCGCGTCGCCGTAGCCATGCGCGTCAGCAAAATGAAAAAGTTTTTTTCAATGAAAGATGATGTCTCAAAACTGCCAAACTCACTGGTTTGACTGGAATCCTGCTGCTGCACAATTTTAACGTGTTTTTAGATAGGGTTATGATCGAGAATAAGCTTTGTGTGGCCTCTCTGGACTCCCATATATTTGCACTAAGTTTAGTCGGGCACCATTTGCAGTCATCAGCCGACATTTGAGGCAAAAAAAAACAGGTAAAAAAAAAAAAAAGCCGCGTCGCCGCACCACTTTTTGGGCAAGCTCCATACCAGAAACCGGAGACTTTTTTTTTTGGCCTAAACAGAAATGTCACATTTCAACTACTTTATTGTGAGTTTTTCTTGGAAAAAAATAGTTGACATGAAAGAGGACACATGTAGCCTTCCGATTTTACAAAAAAGTCAACATTTTACATTTTTTTTTATTCTGTCACTTTTTATCTGTAAGATTTGTTGAGCAGAAGATAACATGTTTTCAATCACATTTATTGTTCAGTGCTTAAACCATGGCAGTCAAAACCAAAGTTCCACGCTCACTGATCGAAAGTAACATAAATATGTGTATTACAAAACATCTTATAGGAATTATATTTACATTTTTATTCTGGAAGGCGCGGCGTGTATGGCGATACACCTTGACCAGACTGGACGAAGGCTTCCCTAAAGATGCAGACCAGGAATTCCCAGGTTTTCCCTCAGAAATCAACAAGATTAAAGGAATCTTTGAGATCAGTGGAAATGGGGAGACGTACATCTTCACAGGTATCTATAGAACTGTCTTAAGCCCCAGTCATCACACATTCACGGTTTGGAGCTACGGATCTCCACGGTTTCAAAATTTGTAATAACCCGTGGGAGTACCGTATTCATCCTTAGTACCTCCGTGGTTATCCGTCATCTTCCTTGGGTATTCGTGGAGAGGCTACGGAAGTTTTAAACTGTTCCTAACTTCCGTGTTGAACTGTCATGAAAATTAATCCGTTGTGCAAACGTAGGACATCCGTAGGACAACCGTACTTATTCGTAGTGTTATTCGTGGCTATACGTGCATATTCTTGGAGATTCGTAGCTCATTCGTGGTAGAAATCTCTATGAATTCGCTACGAATGTCCTACGGATAAGCCCGGATGTGCTAGGGTTCTGCTAAGATTGTACTACGAATAACCACGCTTTATTCATAGGAGAACCTTGGTCATCCGTGATCCAATCGCAGACAACAGTGCCGCTAATGTAATTATTCTTAGTAATACCGTCGATATTCTTCACCAATCTGTCTATATTCTTGACAAACCGTGGTGTATTCGTAGAGTGATTGATTGATTCTGAACCATAGATATTCGGAGCTCCAACTGTGAATGTGTGACTGGGGCTTTACTCTGTGTGTTTGTGTGTTTGTCTGGTAAGGATCGAACTCACATCTGAAACCGCAATCAGCCTAAATTTGTGCAGAAAATGCTTAGAGTATAAAGTCTACGGACCCTTTTTAAAAGTACTCCATCAGCGGTGAAAAAGACAGAGATGAGCATTTCTGCTCTGCCACTTTCCTCTGAGAACAAGCTTTGTTGGTTTGTGTACATAAAGCAGGGAAGGAATGGAGATGATTATTTTTACATGGATGCTGGATTGCTGCAATCAACAGACTTTGTGAAAGGAAAAACAAAGGGAGGGGGGGGGGGAGTTTCCCCCTAGCATCAAATGAGGTCCACACACACAACCACACAACTGTCTCTATGTAATTGTTTAGGAGGTACCTGTTATGTGCGTGAAGCCTATTATGACTTATTTTAACTGCGTATTTTCACCTTGCAGATGGCGGTTTCTACGTGTATAACTGGCTAGGCTTCCAGGGTCCCTATGCGCTGCAAGTGTTTGGCGGCATACCCAACAACATTGTGGGTGCCGTACAGTGGACCGACAACTACATCTATTTCTTCACCGATAACTTCCAGTACTACCAGTGCAGCCCCTGGAGTTTTAGCATCAGCCGCGGGTATCCGCGCCTCGCCCACGTGGACTGGATTGGCTGTCCCGCCAACTCACCGAGCGCTGGTAACCTGCGATTGGTCGAGACCTCCGATTCATTGCCAGAATCGTCAGGACATGATTTAGAAGATACCGGTTCGCATGGATCGTCCGTGTCAGTCACGAGGACCTGGACATCCATGGCGATTCTTCTCGGTTTATTACTGTTGGTATGATTGAATGGTGTTTCTGTAGAGTATAGTGCAATTCATGTAGTAACACACTGGTAATGCTCTCAAGTGAACGACCTTTGCCAACTCACATAACACTGATTTGAAGGGTCTATTTCCAAAATGCTATATATATGTGATGCGATCAAGCTAAATGAGTAGTTTGTCGACCTAGGTCAAAATTTGGTTGATTACAGACTTGAAAAGAGCCAAATCTCAGCATTACTGCTGTGAAAACCGCATCCTGATACCATCTTTAGTTTAAAAATTATGGAAGTCGGAACACCAAGAAATGTGATAAAGTGATGTGATGAAGTGGCCCTATTTTAGCCTGTATCTCCAAATGAAAATTCCTGACAAACGACTCATGTAGCTTGATCACATCACATATCCATTTGGAAAAAAAATGTGGAAAAAAAGCTGCACGGTTACAAGGGCAGATCCAGAACCCATTTGGTTTTTTTGGGGGGGGGGGCAAAATCTTTTTGTTCCCCCCCAAAATGTGATTCCAAAATTTAGGGTGTGGGGTTCGGGGCCCACTTGAGGACACTGAAAAATGTTGGGATTCTAGATGCTCTGTTGTAAGATCTGAGGCAATTTCTGACCTCTTTAACCAATTTTGTTTGTAGCAAAAGATGGTGGTGTACGCAGTGGCTGCCTTTTTCGACATTCCTTTTGGCGAGGCCATGGCCCCGTAGGCCCTCCTGGATCCGCCATTACGCGGTTATGAAAACCTATAGCACACAGTACAACAGCCATTTCTAAGCTACAATTTTCACTTTACTGTCATCTGTAAATTGTGTTTAACAATATAATTATATACAGCTGTCGAAACCAACAATGGGCAATCGAGAGAGGGCAGCACTCTAAAAGGTACCAAAATGGCATGTATAGCATTTTGAAAACAATCTCTTCAAATACAGGTTTGGTTTCATTCAGGGATTTTAAATTCAGGGACGTCTAAGGACAAGTCTAGGAGCGTGTCTCTCCAAATATTCGTTGTCAAATTTACAACAGTAGTTTGTTATGACAGCGACCATACTGTTTCTCCATCTGATTTGTTTATCTTAAAATCAGTTGATTTTTACCTGAAATTCTTAGAACCAGGGGCCAATTTCACGGCGCTGCTAAGCACAAAAATTTGCTTAGCACAAAAGAAGTCTGGCCTATAAAAGCAGGTAACTAGCCAAAACTCCACGTGATGTATATTGGTCGTGATTAGTATTCAGCTGTTGTTTACTTAGCATGAAAATGACGTGGAGTTTGGCTGGTAACCTGCTTTTATAAGCCAGACTTTTTTTGTGCTCGGCAAATGTTCGTGCTTAGCACGCGATGTATATTGCTTGTGATTGGTATTCAGCTGTTGTTTGCTTAGCATGAAAATCACGTGGAGTTTGGCTGGTAACCTGCTTTTATAAGCCAGACTTTTTTTGTGCTCATCAAATTTTTGTACTTAGCAGTGCTGTGAAATTGGCCCCATATCAGAGTGAATAAAGGAATTGTACAAATTTGGTATTATATGTATATGTTTAAAGGTAGAATGCATCATTTGCAGCTATCCAAAAAGTAACTGACAAATTAATGTTAAAAATATTTACTTGGTTTAAAGATAGTAATGGTACTAAACTCCCTGTGAAATAATTTTTATCTGGCATGCTTACATTTTGAAGAAAACAATATAAAAGGAAGGCCATTTCCAAAGATGCGTCAAGTGACACATTTTTGGAAATTAGGTTTGTAATTCTGTGAATCTGTGAATGGGTGAGCGCGAGCGTTGACACGAGGCACACCCGCGTGCGTGGTTGCTATTATTCGTCAGTTCAGTGCTTGAAATCTCTTAGCTGCAATCAGCTGAATGAAAATGTGTTCTGGACGCAGATTAGCAACTTTTGAATTGAAACAGAGATCCTAGAATATTATGTTATCGGAACATACAGTTAATCTGACAGTTTTAGTCAAAATTTGCCAAAAAAATTACTTTTCTCAAAACAAGACAGAAATTCATCTGGATGCAAGAGGAACATCAATCAATACTCTTATACTCATAATTTTGAAAAAACTTTGGGCGAAAAACATCAATTTTTGGAGAAAAAGAAATGAATTTTTTTAGTGATTTTACCTTAAATTATCTACGGAATTTTCCCTTTAATAACACATCTGTCCAGAAATTGATTTGGAATGTGTTCTAGGGCAGTTAAAGCATCTTTCTAGCAACTTTCGAACGATTTCAGTTTTTGGCCAAAATTGAAAAAAATGCAAGGGGTTAGCCTTACATTTTTAGCCAAAATTGGCCAAAAATTGACTTTCTCAAAACAAGGCAGAAATTCATCTGGATGCAAGAGGAACATCAATCAATACTCCAATACGCACAATTTTGAAGATTTGGGAAAAAATCATCCATTTTGGGAGAAAACAAAATTAATTTTTTGAGTGATTTTACCTTAAATTTTCGACGGAATTTCCCCTTCAGTAGCACATCTGTCCAGAAATCGATGTGGAATGTGTTCTAGGACCCTTAAAGCATCTTTCTAGCAACTTTCAAGCAATTTCATTTTTTGGCCAAAATTGAAAAAAATGCAAGGGTTTAGCCTAACATTTTTAGTCAAAATCTGCCAAAAATTGAATTTTCTCAAAATAAGGCAGGAATTCATAATTTTGAAGATTTGGGCAAAATCATCAAGTTTGGAGAAAAAAAGTTAATTTTTTTGAGCGATTTTACCTCAATTTTTCGACAGAATTTCCCCTTTAATAGTACATCTGTCCAGCAATCGATTTCGAATGCGTTCTAGGGCCCTTAAAGAATCTTTCTAGCAACTTTCAGGAAATTTCATTTTTTGACCAAAATTGAAAAAAATGCAAGGGGTTAGCCTTACATTTTTAGATAAAATCGGCCAAAAATTGACTTTTCTCAAAATAAGGCACGAATTCATCTGGATGCAAGAGGAACATCAATCAATACTCTAACATGCACAATTTTGAAGATTTGGGCAAAAATCATCCATTTTTGGAGGAAAAAAATTTTTTTTGAGTGATTTTACCTTATATTTTTTTAAGTTAGGATGTGTTGTAGGGCCCTTAAGGCATCTTCCCAGCAACTTTCAAGCAATTTCTTTTTTTGGCCAAAATTGAAAAAATGCAAGGGGTTAACCACCCTACCTTTATGTGCAAGTAACTGGTCTTTTGAAAATCAAAATGTTTAGCTAATTTAATTCATGCAGTATCTTGAAAAAGTGAAAGCAACGAAGGTGAGTAAATTTGCCAGATGTACAATGATAATTGGTTTAAAAAAGGTACTTTTCATACTGATATGACAGGTGAAAAATATTTAAGACAATAGAAGGCTGATTACTGTTAATTATGTAAGAATTTAAAATACATTGTATTTGTTTTAAAACCGGTAAGGGCCCTCATTAACGTTTTGGCCCATTATACTTTGCCATTGTTTCCATGTGTCTGACTTATAAGTCAGACAATTTTTAAATAATTATGTAATATTGGTGTATATACAGAATAACAACCTAGAAACATTATACCAAAATTTAGAAATTTATGTATAATTTGAAAATGTAAAACGTAAAATTTAAAAAATGTATAATTTAAAAATGTAAAACTTACAATTAATAAAAACGATGTATCACTGGTACAAAGCAGTTTTAAAGCATGTGTCATGTGACATCGCTGTTATTTGTGTATGTCTGCAAATTATTTTGTAGCCATTTTCCCCCAAAACACATTAACTGTCTGTCAAACTGAATCAAAGATAATTAATTTTTTGATTTTCACATCCAAACTGCCAAATACAAAGAAAATAACAAATCCACACACAAAAGTGGAAATATTTCAATCAAATAATATTGATAACATAATTTAATTTGTTCTTTATTCCATATACCCTCTGTGCTCTGTAAAAATATATACAAACTACCTGTGGCATATATTAAATAAAGCTTGGTTCCTTTTTTTTCAAAAACAGTAACACTACAAAATGTATACATTACATTTATTCCTTAAAAACCTCATAATTTTTCTGACATTAATATGTATTCCAACAAACTTCTCAGTGAAATGCTTAAAAACAATTTGAAGATATTTTACAAAATAGGTAGAATCTCAAATGAGGAGGTAAAGAAGTAAAAATGCCAACTTAACCAACACGCATTAGATTGTTTTTAACCTTAGAGCTATATTAAATTACTAGAGCGCTAACTCATGTACAAACGGTGATGCCTGCTGGGCGCATCCATGTTTGTACACAAACCTATAGAGAACCAGAAATTTGGTACGTATTTTGTACATCTATCATCATTTGTATTCCATACCGGTGCGACATCCAAGCCGATACACCCAAAACAGATACACATGATCAGGAAATGAGCGTGTCATTTTGCTCTACGCCAACAGCGCAACGCGTGTGCGTATCCGCTGCAGATGCTTTTTGCTGTGATGTTTTTTTAACTGTCTTGGCGCACTTAAGTTGTACTTATGTATGTTCTACTTGTTCGTTGCATGTAGAGTACACTTTCAAAATTCAATCCATCTAATTTCACTGTGTTCTACAAACACGCACATAAATTCAAAATGTCTGCGCCCAGGACGGCTTCAAAGCGTCTCTGCGCGCAAGAATGAGGAGTTAGCGCTCTAGTAATTTAATATAGCTCCATGTTTTTAACAGACATGTACATCATTGGATTAATTCCCTCAGTTGCAAGACGTGTTTCTTTTGTTCAGATTAAACTATAAGTTGTCATTTAAATCAAATATTTTGATGAACATTTTGCATTCTTTTCTTATGGAGAAGCACAAGTTCTTTTAAAATGTCTGTTTACATGTTCACTGAACCCTTATATGGTCCCTACATAGAGTGCGCCTTATGGAAAAAAAAAATACTCTAGAAACTATCATCGGTTTATTAACTAAAACAGCTGCATTTGTTCAGATAATAAAATATAACAAACTTTAGTTTTTACGGTAAAAAAAGATGCATTCCAAAATATGTGCACACTATCCAGAATACTGATAATAGCCTTTAATGTCTAGTGAATACTGAGCCTAAAAAGTATGTTCGTTCTTCGTCTTGTACTTTAAATACTTTACTAAAAAATAAATTATGAAAGAAAATACATAATTCTATCATGTATCTATTGCAAAATGGAAAACTTAAAAACAAAATATGCCATACTGAAAGAAACACTACATCAAGTAAATGCTACAGTTGAAAATATAAGGAGAGGGCCAAAATTAATTTTTTTTAAATTTTTTTTTCTGTTCCTGTTACTTAGTTCCTTGTGATTTGCCATTCAAGCAAGGGCCTTATTCACGAGTCGGCCATATTGAATTAAAAGTGAGGTAAAATCTTAATTTTTTGAATTTGCGAAGAGAAATGAAAGCAAATTAATTACTAATTGATTCCAGTTTGCTTCAATGAATAATTTAAAATTTGTAATTATACATTCCCTAATGTTTAAAGCCAGATTTAAAAAAAAAAGGACATTTAAATAAGGCTGCATTATGCCTGTATAAATAGTCTGGGGCCATCACATTCAACAGTTAATAATTAATGAAATACATTCAGGGAACTCGACAAAAATGACCAACTCATGCATAAGGCCCATCCATATAATTCTGAAACCACCTGAGCACTCTGGTTTCATTGATTCTTCAGTGAATAAACACAATGTAATACCATGTAGCACAGGTGCTAATAAGTTAAAATGACTTGCAACTATTTCTCTTACTTTTTGGATAGGTAGGTTGCTTTACACAACACTCTTGGAAAAGAAAGGCATAAAGGTGCAGCCAGAACATTTAAACACATTGACAGAATGACCCTGATGCTACAGTTATTGAGATTGTTCACACATATATAGTTATGTGATTCGTACAATAATCCAGTTCGGTATTCCAACTACGCATGCGCATATCAAAATTTAATGATTTTTCTTTTGGGATAAAAATTTCATCCTATGCATGCAAAAGCATAGCAGGGTACCAGCAAAATTGAAGAGATCGTCGTGTTCTGAAGTAACTTTTACAAAACAACATTTGGACAGCAAAGTGTTTTTGGGTGTCTTGTGTGTCCAAACTTTTCCAAAATTGTCCATCTTTTTTCGATTGCACAAAAAATTACACAGAATGCAGATTCAGTTACCACGTCCCCCATAGCCTAGTGTGCATTTATCTGCCGCGTTTATCCCGAAAAAAATTTGTCGAATCTTGTTGTGTACCAGACAATTTTGAAATAACGAACTGGCTTATTGGACACAAATTAACAGAAAACCATCTGAAGACACTGCAATAATAAGTAAGCTAAGAGAACATCTTCAACATTTGATAAAGTATCTTCACTACAGCCTGAAAATGATGTTGAACATAATTAAATTCCTGCGAATTCTGCAGCGAATGTTTCTAGACATCACATTCGGATTCACATTTGCATTCGGACATGTGTAAAGTATGAACAGGACTTAAGGCCACATCTTAATCTCTTGTACTGAGCTATTGTCTAGTTTTTCAATAGTCAATTACAACTACATGGGAACAAGTTGTCGATAGATGTACCTGTAGCTCAAGAGGCCTGTTTTGGACATGGCCTTAATCCTACTCAAAGTCACGGTACGGTGAAATTGAGTGCAGTACCCGCTGCTATGTACATCGGATTCGAACCAGCCAACCGATCCCGTTGGCTTGGTGGTCGAGTGGTAAGACGTCTGCACTAGAAAGCAGGAGGTCGTGGGTTGGAGTTCCACCCGAGTGATTTTTTCCAACTTTCACTCGGGAGGTGACACACTGAGTATACAGTGTTTATACGTCGGTGAAGGGCAAAACCTAATTTGATTTACTCAAAGTCACAAGAGTTGTTCGATATGTAGTTAACAGAGCTCACAATATCATCAACGCAAGTTCAGGGGGCCCAGTGGTGATTGCTTAATAACGTACAATGTATACATCTGTCTAATGAATAGGTGTAAACCTTACCAGGAATTGAACCTGGATCCTGCCATTTACTGGCCAAGTAGCTCACTGGCCTACCGATGTCACCACATTCACAGCTTGTGCAGGAGGCAATACAGTAATAAAATGCTGACACACCTGTCAAACTCCCACTTGAAGACCTACCAGGAATCGAACCCGGACCCTGCCAACAACTGGCCAAGTAGCTCACTGGTTTCCGATGTCACCAGATTCAAAGCGGGTACAAGGGTTATTTTAGTGATATGCAACCCTCCAGGTTCCTCAATCCAGGGCTGAAGAAGTCAGCATCTTCGAGTTGGAAACCTACTTGGACATTAACCCCGGACCTTGCGTTTGCTAGCCAAGTAGTTTACCGGTCTTCTGTTTTCACCACATCATCAATGCATGTACAAGAGGCTTTTCAACAAAGGATTGACTACGCAACCCTCCAGCTTCCAATCCAGGGCAAAGTAAATAGCATCTTTTGAGCTCAAAACGTATCAGGATTTGAACCTGGACCCAGGGATTTGCTGGCTAAGTAGTTCACTGACCTTCAAGTATCACCAAACTCAAAGCATGTACAGGAGGCGTTTCAGTGAAGAATTGATGACGCAACCCTCAAACTTCCAATCTAGAGCTAAGAAATCCGCATCCTCCACTCTCTCCTTTGCAACAAGGTTCTCCTGGTCGATGGTGTCCTCCGTTCTGTGTGAGAAGAAACAAGTAGTGTTGTAGTAGAATCCATTTCGAGTTGTCACAAATCCATTACAAGTCTCAAGAAAAGTCACAAGCTACACAAATGAGTTGTGCTAAAACATTTCTCTGTTATTATTCATTTTCTGTTTCTTGTGGAAGGACTTGAGTTTTCTACTGTGACCGGACTTGTGATGAAATTGTGATGCGCTGAGCACCGTTGATAAATCAATATTCCTCGATTATTGGATATAATTTTGATATTGGTGTCGCCGATAGCAATATTTCAATTATATCAAAATATCGTAATTTTCAATATTGAGGAATCATATTGAAAATATCAAAAATGTGTCAGATTATCGTCAAAATAAATCTCCCATTTGTGCTTTTACTTTGTGTTTATCACTTGCTGTATAGTAAAATAAAACTCGGCAGCAATTAACTTGTGCTTGTGACTCAAAATAAAACATCGCGAAATGCCAAGCGGCGTCACTTTGAGCTCTGCATTCCCTGGAATTCGCGGTCTCCCTTAATGTAATGTAAAACTTTTTTTTTTTTTAAACGCCTGTTCTGGACTGTTTTAAAAAGTTTTGAGAGAAATGCTCCAGAGAAAGCCGTACAAAATTGGGACTTAAGATTTTTATTGAAATTTTTTTTTTTTAATCAAAGTGTCATCTTTATGGTCTTTAACTTTTACATGGGATAATTGATATATCGAATATTCTCGATATTGGATTTCTGATATATCGATTATTGACAATTCTGAAATCGACGATGCTTATGATGGACTCCAACTTGTACACCGGGAAAAAGGTAACAATGTCAATTTATAAGGCCAAATAAAAAAACAACATGTTGTGCCTTTTTGAAAAAAAGGAAGGAGGAGGCCTTTTTTTTCCCCTTCCAAAATGGCAGCCCGACCCATTTTCCAAAACGACCAGCCGGGCTATTTTTTAAGATGGCCGCCAGCTTTGAACACAATAAAATCACGCAATTGCACACAATAAAATCGCACAGAGCCGGCATTTAAAACGTTTATGAAGTAAGGGATGGGACTTTGTTGAAAGCGCTTGGTTCTTATAGGGAGTTGAGTAAGATTAATCATGTGCACTTTGCACTATCCATGTACGCTCTGCCCAGTACGTGATGCGGGGCATCCCGTCCACTGGGCTCTCGAAAGTGGTACATAAAGCGCCCTCTCTGTTCATGCACGGACCCACGACAAAATGGCAGTTCGTATTTAAAATGCTGCAGGTTTTCTTTTTCAACTTTTTTTTTTCTGTCAATAATTTGGGAGGCTAATCATCCTTACTCGCAGCTGGGATGCTGAATTGCGAAGGACGAGGCTACAACGTGGTCGGGCCGCTGGCACGTAAAGGCGCCTCTGGCTGCCGGCCACATCGACCAATATATGACCACGGAGCACAGCCTGAGATCGAAAGTGTTTGATTTTTACTTACACATAATCTCGGTAGTGTAGCCTTTCCAGAAGAGCACAGATGGCACAGAAGAGCTTGGGACCAAAGTGGGTGAAATCGTCTGCCTCAATCAGTTCCAGGACATCTTGGATCTGAATTGTGTTCACGGTGTCCACCAAAGCCTCAACAACGGCGGAGTTGAACTCCTAAAATAGAGAAAGAGAAGGTCAAACCGTTACAGTTCACATGTTATTATTATTATTATTCATTATTTCTGGTAATGAAACCAAGGATTCCTCAAAAGCGCCCTAGGCACTGTAGCTCACAAGCCTGAAGAAAACTGTAGAGAGGAGACAATGAGAAGAAATTACAGTTTTAGAGGTGGGAGCTAGGAAAACCCTAGAAAGAACCATCAGAATCAGGCAGGGACTGAAAACCCAAATCCACATGTAAACCACGACAGGAATCAAACCCGGGTCACATCAGTGGAAGGCAAGGAAAGTACCACTGTGCCAACCAGACTCCCCTGTGTGTGTCCATGCTTGGCTGAAAACTTGAATACTGAAATATTTACACACACACAAAATAATATTTGAACAAAAAAAGAAAACTTACATTCTATTCATATGGTTTCCAAAAACATTGATCTCATGGCTCATGTCAGAGAAGGAAAAAGGACACAAAAAGTGCTCTGAAAAAAATGATACATGTACACTGGTGCAAATCCCCATTCCCTTCCAAAGTCCAGTAAGCAGGGCTTGCTGAAGCTAGTATTGAGAATATAGGGCCCAAAAAAAAAGGTGTTTCCCGTAACCCGACCGACCGTGAAAAATTGGCCGTACGTAGGTTCGGCGATATTTGTTTTTCTTCATTTTTTGACTGAATTTGATTTATAAATTAAAAAACTTTGAAAAACTGTACAAATGAGGCCGAATTACCGTGAACAAAACACTTGCTAAAGTGTTACGAAAGTCACTGCATCAACCAGGGCCAAATTTCAAGGAGGTGCAAAGTCAAAAGTCATCCAAGGCAAGTTAGCATGCCTAGCAAAAACATGCCCGATAAAACCCGACACCAAAAGCAAAACTAATTTTTGGATGGTCGGCTGTTTTGTTCTGTTTTGCGAAAGAGAAGTTTTTGTTTGGAAATTCTATGTGCTCAGCAACTGAATGAGATTGTTCCTGCAGCACTGTGGTTTGTATTAACCAGTGGCGCACCTAAAAGGAGGGGGGGGGAGCTCAATATTTTTTCTTCAAAAAATGTTGCCTAAAATATTTGGCCGCAGAAAAAAATTGGAGATTTTTTTCGGGGAGCGGACTATTTTGACATTGGTGGTACCACTTACACTCTTATTATACTACTCGAAAACAGGCCACATTCATACTATTTGTGGCAAAAATCGTGGTAAAATCGTGGGACTAAAAAAAAATTAGCCAAAAAAAACACCAAAAAAAAATAAAATTTGACAACCTCGGGGGGGGGGGGGGGGGCTTAAGCCCCCAAGCCCCCCCCCCAGGTGAGCCACTGTTATTACCATCTGCACTATTCAAAAACTCCATGCGAATCAGGCCGTCTAACCTTTCACCTCATGGAAGTTGTGTCTGGTGCACGTACACTGGGGAGGTACAATCCTTTCTTTGCTTCCAAAGTATTGAAAGGATTTGTATACAGCCAAGTTTACGCTCAACTAAATCCCATCATGTGACAGTACAAAAGGTTTTCATTGTGCTTCATCCTGGTTCAAATGCCTGTACACATGCAGGCATGTACATGCACAGTGGTACATTGCACTTACGGTATGCTCTCACTCAGGATGAACATGATTCATTCTTTTTTTCCCCCACAAAACTGACTGATGCTGCACATCGTCTACAGAAATTCAGGTAAGGTAAAGAAGTAATCAGACCCACTTTCATGTACAAAAGATTGTACGCATGCAGGAATGAATTTCATGGTTCTGGAGTCTCCACAACAATAAAAGGGTTTTGGGCTTATACAGAATTTCTTTGCTAGAGAAGTTGATCGTACCACTGCATCTGTGGAAAGCTGAGCTTTACAATTGGGCCCAGAGTAATACAGAATCATTGACTTTAGCTGCTTGGCGCCAAAATGGCAGCATCATTTTGTATTCTCCCCAGGGAGCTGAGATTGTCTTTGAATTGCTTAGTTGGCCCAATGAGCAGGGTAATAATGATGTAGCGCCTTGAGCACCAATACTGGTGGATGCATGCGCTTTATAAGTACCCACTATTATCATTACTATTATTATTGTGGTTTCCTAAGAGCTGACCCAAATTGGCTATGATGACATGATTTGTTTTTAACATTGTTTTTTTCTCCCCATAACTTCTAGAAACAATATCAGCTTTACAAAAAAAGAGCATAAAATAAAGAACTAAGTCCAAGATATTCGCACGTAACAAACTGCGTGTCCTACATTTGCCACGTCCTGAAACAATGGTTGTATCTTGTTCACCGAATTCCAAAAATACAAGAAATCTATGAATACGTGCATCCTTAACAATCAGAAATACTGAGAAAAAAAATTACAAAAGGTAACAAAATTCCTTCATTACAACCAACCAAAGAGAACATAAAATATCTGTCTGCAAAGTCATTAAAATTTGTTGCTAGGAATTACATAAAGGAATTGGCTATTTTTTATTAGGCCTACTTTTAATTATATAGACAATTTTTTTGGGGTAAATGGTCTTTCATTCATGTGTACTTATAAACATAGTTGATCCATGCCATGTAACCCTCTTTCTAGGGTGACTCATATCTGACCAACCAATATCAGTCAACTCGAAAAACAACAACATTTCCATTTCCTAATCATTTTAATGCTGGAAACTTGTCTACAGTACTTAAACCTATTTTGACTTTTTATTAAAAAGTTGGACAAACATTGACTGGAGCAGGGCTTGAACCTGCCACCTCTGGATAACCGTTCCGGTGCTCTACCAACTGAGCTATCCAGCCCTATGTTGGCGGTTCCCCGATTAGTCAATATCTTTGTTCAAGGTGCGCTAGTCAGAAGTCATAAACCCGTATATGCCATACAGCCAGGGATTATGCTCAACCTGGGAAGTAGGAAACAGGGATCACTCAAAGAGCATACAGCTTTTCATTGCAAATTTTTATATGAACAACATAGGGAAAATGACTAGGTGAATTACAACAATTGAAAAGTTTGAAAAGAAATTGACTGGAGCGAGGCTTGAAGCTGCGCGACCTCCGGATATATAACCATTCCGGTGCTCTTTATTAAAAACAAGAAATTAAACTGATGCTTGTACATTTTAAATTCACAGTAGCACTCTGATTGAGAGTCTTCAAGTGCAGCTAGGTGCCGACATTGCAAGACAGTATACCTGCAAAATGAGCCTCCTGCAAAATGAGCCTCCAAGATGTGAACAGCATCCAGAGAAGAATCTCAGCATCTACTGCACAACATGTGATCTGTTGGTCTGTGCTGTTTGCGCTCTCCTGTATCATGGGAGACATTCTCGTTGCGGCTTAGCAAGGGCTGTAGCTGAATGCAAACAATCTGTTGCGGAACTGACCGAAATAGCTGAAGGGAGTATGCGAGAACTCAGTGCCGCTATGACAGAAATGGACAAAGTCCTCAAGGGCCTGGACAACCAGTTTGACAATGCTAAAACAACACTCTCCACAAAGGCTGACCAAATGGTAGCCAAAGTAATAGACGCAGGGGCTAATCTCAGGCAGGCAGTTGAGAATATCTACCAGCAAAAGGCCCAGAAGATAGAGGATGCTCAAGCGGTCAACAGCAAACAATTGTCTCAGGCACTGGACAAGCTACAAGAGGTGAACCAACAAATGTCTGAGGCAACTGATTTTGAGATTCTCAACCTCAAGAGGACACTTTTGGAAACCCTGAGAGAATTGATAAGCACATGGAAAGAGCCTGAGAGAGTGCCAGAAGGGTTGATTGAGGACTTCTCAATGAGTGTGACGTCACTGGGAGGTTGGAGCATGCACACAGATGAGGTGATACTTCCAGGACCAGAGCATCAGCTTCCAAACGAAGAACCACCAAGACCCACCAGTCCACCTCTAAACGAGGAACTCACACACCTGTACTGGAATAGGTCTCAGAAAGAGGAACCACCACCAATACCACCCAGAACCATTGGAATATTTGCAGAACACGAAGAGGTACCACAAAGGCCTCCTGGACCACCTCCAGCTGAAACCCCAGAAACACCAACAGGACATCCTCTAAACCAGGATCCCGGAGGACATGAAAGACTGCCTTCTCATGAGGAACCACCCATAGGTCCTGAAAATCTAACTCTTCAACAGGAACAGCAAAGACCCACAGAATCGCCTCAACGAGAAGAACAGTGGCAATTAGTAAAAAGCATTAAGAAATTCGGGTCCGCAAAAACAGACTTTAAATGTGCTTTTGCTGTAGCTGCATTCGCCAGTGGTGATTTTGTCGTAGCAGATACGGCAAAGAGGCAGCTTGTTAAAATTGCCAAGGTCTCAAAGTCCAAGTCCCACAACATCTCAAACACATTAGCCACTAAGAGTTTTGTGTACGCACCAACTCATGTCGCAGTAAACAAGGATGACCAGGTCATTGTCCTGATGGCTCCTGTCGTCAAGGTTTTCGACGAGGACTTCCGATTCATCCGGCAGTTCCTACCAGGCACGGCAGAGTCTGACAGCACCCCAACATGCCTGGCCGTGGATGATGACAATCTGATCGCGGTGGGTTTTGCCGAGAAGGAAGAGATAGCTCTGCACAGTCCAGATGGATCCCTGATCAAGACACTGCGTGCGAGGCACATCAACGCATATTTGAGCATTCTCCAGAAAGAGTTTGTATACACCAACTGGACAAGGAGGAAAATTGTGTCGGTGGACTACAGCAGCAACCTGATTTTCAACCAGAAGCTTGACAATTCAAAGACAGGCCCCACTGGGATCTGTTTTTGCCCAGATGGCAGCTTCTATGTTGCCATCGTTGGGCCAAATGTGCCGGGCAACATCTACCACTCCACCCCAGACAACACAAACTTAGGACGAGTCATCACTGAATGTGGTCACCCATATTGTATCACAATGAATCCCAATGGCAATCAGCTGATGGTGGCTGCAGGAAAGGCTGTCCACATCTATCACCTTGTCCCTAATAAGAGAAAACCGTAAGATGTACCTCGAAAACGAAACAATA